TTTTAAAACCAACTGGTAGTACAGTTTGAATCAACTTATTTAACACTGTTTGGTTATTTCTATGCATTCATAATACTACAGCACATTCATTAATCCAACTACTATTCAAATAACTTCATACTCAAGTACAAATTGTTTCAGTCAAAAGTATATGTTAATGAAAACTAAGTAATTTAATTTCTATGTACTTTTTACCTATTAAGAAAAATAATATAAAACATATTCTGGAATACTCTATTCGTTTACAAGAACATGAAATATTATAAGCCAATATGCCAACTCACCTCATCAAAAATATCACAGACACGATATGGAGGGCCTCGTTCAGATACGAATGTGTTGAAAAACATGCAATCCAATACTTTTGTCACAAAGTCATTATCCAGAAAATTTCTCTGTCCTAGAAAAGCTGCCTACAAAGTTTAAAAAAAAAATTAAAACACAAAACTGTCTACTACAAATCACAATTGGCTCACAGAAGGAATATGATAAAAATTCTTCCCAGTTCACTAACATAGCTTTCCTCTCTCTAGATGTAAATATACTAAATCATGTAACTCAAGATCAAGTGACAGAAAAATATGGACTAATATACATTTACAATGTTACTGTGCAAATATTTACACAGAAATAAATATTTGAACATTTTGTAAAAAAAAAAGTTTTTGTTACACTTTCTTAATGTTCTCCCACCTTGTGAAATGTAATGATTGGTTTCGGGTGGATCCTTGTTATTGTTAAACAAGAACGATAGCCTTGCAAGAGCTGGGCAAACATCCGAAGGAAAATCGCTCTGATCTCTTTATCCTGAAATACATGATAAAAATGTAAACTGATAACAAATATTTATGCTTAATAATACAGATTAAAAATTCCTATAACTTAATAATAGAAACATCTTACATGGTTAATTTTTTAAGTTTCCATTACCTTTTACTGAATATAACAAAGTGATACTTAGTCAACAGAAAATTTATATTTTTATTGAAAAAGAACACGAAAGAAAATGATGTTCAAGCTTCATCAAAAATACAATGCTGACCTATTCTCTAACAGGCATTAATATTCTCACACTTACCCAGCAACACTGTGACATAATATCAATCTAAATAGCCCTGTCTAACTTTGCTTTCATAGAATTTTGTTTTGTTTGAGAATTAATTTTCAACTGTAGAAATACCTACCAACATATTATGTGGAGAGGTTTTCTGTTGTACGGGAGGAAAAGCATCATCTGCTGTTAGCAGCTCTGGTCGCAGCACCTGAAAATAAATCATAAACTTATAAGAGCAAGCCAGCATTTTGTACTTTATAATGACTTACACAAAATGGAACTTTTAATACATACAATGTTTTTATAAAATTGAAAAATACAATTTTAATAATAAACATTTCTAACCACCACAAGTAATGATGTGTGCATACAAGAGTTATTTGGACTGAATGTTATTTAATGATATATAAATATGGAAGAAGACATAAAGCATACTGTATAAAAAGTGCATTAAAAGAACATGACTACAGAGACAATATGAATTTTTATTTATTTAATAATACACATAAAAGGAAATTCCAAACATACTGGTATGGAGTATGGTTCTAGTTTCAAAATCTTCAAGTATAGAGAACTTCATAGCACTTAATAAGCAGTATTAGATATAACTATACCTATGCTATAAGATATAAACTATATTATTATGGTCTTTAATGCATCATGACATGTTACTTTAACAATAATGCTACCTCTACATCATGTCACATTATTATAATCTTTTTTTGCATCATGACATATGACTAACAACTACCCCATGTCATGCCACATTATTACAATCTTAAATGCATCAGAACATAACTTTTAACAATACAACTACCCCTACGTCAGCACATTATTATGATATTAATTTTATCATGAAATATTACTATAACAATACAACAACCCCCATGTCATCATAGTATTATTATTATCTTTATCACTACATCAATAGATGTTACTTTAATGTTACAGCTAGCTATCACCGTCACAAAAAATAATATTATTATAATCTGTCATATTACTACAAACTTAACTGCTACATCAGATGTCACTTCAACATGAGAACTGTAGGTCATAAGATTCTACTGTTGAAACCATTTATAATTAAAATAGTTAAAAAAATTATCAATCCATTCATACTATTCAAACATGAAAAATATTTTAGATATTTTGAAAGCAAATTTCAACTTTCTGTTAGAATACATACCATACAGAGCTGGGTATACAGCTGAGAATGTAGAGGTTCCGGTAATATTGGCACTGTAATACATTCAGGCACAATTATGGACCCGCCATCAAGGTCCACAACTAATACATCTAACTGAAAAATAGAGACACAAACATTCAATGTTTCACAAAATGAATAGTCTAAAAAATATCTTTCTCTCATGAAGTGAACTAGATATATTACAGTCTAAAAGGTATCTTAAGAGAAAATTTACACTTAAAGTAATCAGTGCTTTAACAAATAAATGCAACTACAAAATCTAACAATAGAGAAACAGTTAAAATCGTTTTAAACAAAAACAATTAAGTGGTCAACATTTCAGCCAAACTACTGCAAACTCAATTATTTCTCCCTTTAAAGACTTCAATTTAGACTATATGCATAACTCACCAATATTCACTACATGACACTTTTTCTGATGATGAGACGTGGCTTATTTCCAACCTTACTAAATACATTCAAATCAATGAAGATTATTTCAAACAAAATAAAAGATGATGGTCATTGTCCAACCATTAAGTTATGCATTTTAAAAAACATCTGGAAAGTAAACTGAGTTTTTTGTGTAAATGTGACTTAAAAGATGATATCCAATTTTCTAAAATTGAAATTGTATAGAAATAATTTTTTTAACCAATAATAGAATTGTATTTTTGTGGACTGAATGAAATATTTATGACCAACTCGATAAGATAAGTATGGAATCATAACTTGCACTTGCCATAAATAATTTGTATCTGAATACGAAAACAAAAACAAAAAACAAGTGGCTAAATGAATATCAAGTTCCATTTAAAACTAGTGTTGTGACAAATAGCTGATGCACTGATACATCACTATATTTTGCTCCATGATATGCATATATCACGACTTCCCTATTGCAAATCCCACAATACATGGGTCCATCAGTACCAGCCTTCTGTAGAGGACTTGTGCAATTGTCTGCCTATATGGCTGGTGTGCTTGATCCCTGGCTATAACTGCTTGCTGCATGTGTACAGATAAATTTGGCCCCATCAAAACAATAACCATTAAAGTGTAGCCCCTCCACTAGCATCCTAGCAGTGCCAGGCTCCACATTCAAACACAATTCCCCAACTTGTTGTCAGAAACTAACACAATCGGTATGCTATTCAATGTCATTGCAATTTAAAAAATGTGGTTTTTCAGATACTAATCCATTCATCAAATGCAATAAACTGATTGCCCCACAGGTTGTTTGCATGTTCAAATAATTTGATATTGTATCACTTATCACATAGTGACCCATGTATAATGATACAAATCTTACTGTGTAGTACAGCCCTACTTAAAACACTATATTAATTCTCCATTACTAGAACAGATAATATTTCAACAGTCAACATTGAAATTCACAGTTAAGCATTAAGAGAATTCAAAACTTTTTTAAATTCCTTCATAAAAATTCAACAATAAAGGTCGATAATACCTTTGTTCATATTTCCTTTAAAATTAGCTTAGTGAAAGTCATAACTAATCATGCTTGTAAAACAGTGTTTTATAACTTGCTACAGTTAATTAATTCAATACCATTCTTCATAAAACTTGAGCAATGCTACCAACCTTTAAATTTTGCATGGTGGTCCTACTATATATATATATATATGTATATAAATATATACACACACATACATATATATGTATATATATGTGTGTGTGTGTGTGAGACAAAATTCTGCTGTTCTTAACTGAAAGTTAGTTATTCAGTTAGGTAGAACATATATAATACAATAAACAGAAATAGAAATTTTCAACTTACCAAGTCTACAATTTCTCCTTTGACAGATGAATGAACACCCATAATAAAAGGTGTTGGTGTGCTAAGTACTTCAACTAAAGCAGCTGGTAGAAGTGGGATGTACACATGGCTACAAAATCAGAAAAATGTATTAATTATTATCTTGCTTGCAATGTTGTTTTTAATTACCTTCATTTGCTTTTATTAGATTACTCTTTTTGCAACTCCAGAGTAACATAAGGCATTCCATCTTACCATTATTTTGAAAGATTTACACAATTAAAAAGTTTTATTTCTCATTACACCCAAAAGTATGGCTAACAACAAAAGTATCCAACTGATGAATAAATACATTTTAATCAGAAACAAGTTAGAATGGTGTATCAATAAATGATCTAAATCATTTTGTACAGCAAAAGCATCCTCTTCACATCCAACAACACACAAGACTTTAATACCATTAGCAAATTTAAACAATTTATTGACCATTCCTTTATATATGTCACTGATGTAAATCAAAATGAGCAAGATCCTTATACTGAATCCTGAGATACCCAATTGTGACATTAATCTAGTATGACTGAACCTCATTCATAACAAACCTTTGTTTTCTTCCCTCCGGCCATTTTTTTAACCAATGAGCTACCTTATCCTCCAAACCCAGTGACAACATTTTTAACAAGCCTTTCTTATACAACACTGTTACTTTAAACAATCAAGACAAACACATATAACTCACATTGGCCATATACTTATCTATAATTCAACCACATAAAAAATTATATTATAAACTTTCAAAAAATCTGAATCAAATCTAATCATAACTAAGCTCAAAAATGTTTTCAATTGATCTTAAGTAACATAGCTTCCAAAGGTATCAAAACCAATTCAACAATTCAATAAAAAAAGTCTACATCCTTATATACAGCAAGGTTTATCTGTAACAAAAATTGCAAGAAGAAAACAAAATAATAGGTGCAAACTGTACTGAAAAAAAAGGGCAAAAAGTGTGGACTTTAAATATGTTTTCTAATAAAAAAAATTTACATTTAAAGTTGCTCTGGTAAACTTCACAACATAAAACATCTGGAAATTTGAAAAATCTTTGTCCTTTAAATCAAAATTACACTGAAAGTACTGAAAAATATGTAAAAACAGGCTAGAATTCCAGCAAATGAGGATCAAAACAAGGTTAAATAAATGACAAATTAAACCTCATCAACTGGAGTAATGATTGTAAATATTGGATTATCGATTCTTTTTCATATTAAAAATTTATCAGACTGCACATTTTATACAGAAGAAACCCTCATATTTTTTATTTTCTCATCTGCCACATTGGCAATGGTAATAAATTAAATATTAACTTATGAGTACATAACTGATTGCACAGGGCCAGTAATAATCTTCATTGGTAACTATAGTGTTAGCAAAGTGAAAATTAAAATTTATGTTGAATAATTCAACAAACATTTTAGCTTTTACTTTTGAATGAGGGTTATCTCATTGAATAAATTTATACTGAAGCTGACACCTTATTTAAAATATTTATTTTATTTTTTATACAAGCTAACATAAAAACACCTCAAGTTCACGCAGTTCTAAAAACTAATACCAAAAACTTCCTATTTCTATCTAACATTACCTGTATTTAAATGGATACATGAGTGAAGTTAGTGCATGGCAGGCTTCAGTTAACCTTGTATAGCTTCTAGACTCAAAAAGGATTTTGTGCTCTGTCATTGTAGCACAACAAAGTGTAACAACATTGTAGATACCTATAAAGTTTTATCATAATTATTAACAACACAAAGACTGTCTCCATAACCCTTCTCTATGAGTCAATATGTGAATACAATGATTTATTTATCAAGATTTCCAATTAGAAATAATAATATATACAAATACCAAAACAATGCTTGTTTTACTTTCTTTGATAGAAATGTTTATTTACATAAGTTAAATCATAGTATCCACAATACATTAATTCAAAATAGTGTGTAATAAAATACCTTGTTCACTATATAGCATTGTTCCAATGTTAACATTTTCCTATCCTGAAAACATATTTCATATAGATACTCATCTCTCTGCACAACAAAGACCCATTACCTCGCACCACTGCCAAGAAGATTTTTGCACACACTACAAATCTTGAATGAAACCCACACCCCTACACATATTAATGTGGACCACACAACCTATGATGTAATCATCATTAGACTATAGCACTCCACAAAGAGGAGGGTAACACATCCTCCATGTGCAGTAATCACAATGAGCATTAGCACCTGAACAAAGGCATTTGCTTAACAAGGCAAAATAAATACATCAGGAGTGGAGAGGTAGGGTGAAAGGTTGTGCAGAGAAGTGAGTATTTTTCTGAAATATATTTTCAAATAAGGAAAATGTTAACTTCAGAGATTCTACTCACTTCTCTGCACAACAAAAGAGCCAGAAATCCCAAACAGGTAAGATGGTGTAGGGGCCATGTAGATAAAAAAAAGGTAAAAAAAATGAGCTCATTTCTAAAATCATAGCATCAGAATGAGAAAACCCATAGAGCATGTCACCTACTGTGTGGTAGCCTAGCAGAGCATCACTCAGTGGGAGACCGTATCCTTCTCATGCAAGGAATGAATACTCTTTACCCAATAAAGGTGATATATCAAAAGGTAGTGTGAAAAGAACCCTCTGCACAGTGCTAATGTTTCACATAGGTGGGTGGTATGAAAGATAGATTAATTGGGCAAAATATCTCAGGCAGTTGGCAAAGTATGTGTGTATGTGGCTAGGGCAATAAGTCAGGCAGTACAGTAGTGGAGATATACCATGTGAAATACTTACTAAACTAGTCAGGTGCAGGAAGGAATCATCCCAAATCTCCATTCCGAGCAAAATACAAAAGACATCCAGCTAAGAACCAGGAATGGTCTTGTTCTGAATTTAAGGGGTGGTTTGTACTACACTTCCAGATAAATACCCCCATCCCTACTTCCCATTGAGAAATACATCTACTTGATCTTATAACAGTGAGATTATACTCTAGATATCAACCTCACCAGCGGCTTGGGACTTGGGAAGCAAGGGTTCTCCTGATACTCCACTGAAAGAAAAAGGGATGAAATTTACAGAAAGAGGTGTGTGAAACAAACAGAAATTTTTCTGTTATCTGCATAAAGTCCCACACTGATAGACTGTGTAATGGGTTACAAGAATAGGAACAGCAGGCCTGAGCCAGGTGTGAGAATATGCTCACACCTAGTGCCCTTTTATTTTCTTCTTGAGGTACAGCCTGAAAGTAAAAAAAAAATATATATATAGATAGATAGGCAGATAGATAGATAGATGTAGATATAATGCCTAGGCCTGTATGGAAAACATACAGGACCATAGCCAATCCAAAGGAAAGGTCCTTGAATAGAATATTTGACCATTGTGGAGCAACTGAAGGAAACAAAAGTTAGACAAACAAACTGGGGTGTAAAGAAAGCATATGAGACATCAATTCTGGTCACCCAAAATCCAGGGAAGTGCTAACCTCAGAGTGGGATAACCATCCATCTAGAACTGAGGAACAATAAAAGTTGCCAATCCCCTATCTTAGTGGGAATGAAAATACAGAGAGGGTTAAATCCCATAATGGGGTTGAGGAATTTGTCCATGCCATACTAACCTAGTGAGGTAGAGAGTTGAAGGACAGAAAAAACCCTTAGAAAGCACCCATGTAACCCAGTAGTTTGCAGCAAAGGGAGTCCACAAGTATACAAAGTGAGACAGCTCAGTTTCCACCAGACTGGAGTAGAGGGGTAGGTCCAGGAACAACTTGCTTCTAAGACCTTCAACAGCCAGCCCTCAGAGACATACCTAGGTAATCCAAGCAGTAAAGGATGAAGATGAGATTGCCTGATCCTTGACTGTGAATCCTGGATTCTAGTGCATAATGGTGGTAAGATCACTGACCATCAGAGTGCCTACAGTCACCATTTCAGAGGATTACTCCTGTTGAGGGGTGTCAGAACCTCAGAAGATGTTAGAAACATAAAAACATGAATTTGTAATCCAAGTGATCCATAAAATCATCTGATTTTTTTTTAATAAAAGTTGGTGTGGTATATCAATGGTACATAGGCCGAGGTCATTAGAGTCATGAAGACAACAAAGAGCATTAACAAACCTGTACACTGGTTTAAAGCAATGGGAAACAATATTTTCAAAGAAACTGTATTGTAATGTCCCAAGATTACATGTTTGATTAAAAAGTAAACTCAAATTGAAGATAATTTGAATCCAAAATCTAGTTGAAATATTTAAAATTTGTTATATTTCTCATATTCAAGAAAATTAAGGAAAGAAAGGTTATTACAAATGGTAATGAAAGTTTAAAATAATGAGTACAAAAATTTTGTTAAATCCTCAGAGGAAAAGAATAAGTTTTTGTTCAAATGTTAGTGCTTATCTCAGGGATTAGTGCACATGGGGGATGTGTCACCTTCCTGTTGATGGAACATTATAATCTAATAACAATTACATCATAGGCTTGCATAGTCCACATTAATACATGTCAGGGTAGGAGTTTCATTCAAAGCTTGTGGAATGGACAAAAATCTCTGTAATGCCATGAGGTAGTAACTCTTTGTTATGTAGAAAAATGAGTAAACATTTCTGAAATAGGTAATTGTACATTATGATACTCAATCATCTTACACCAAGTGTTCTATAACAGTAACTTGGTATCATGCTTGAATTCTCAATTAAAAGGAGTTTAACATTGTAAAGTATTGTTTAAATTATTGTGATCCAGAGATTTAATTGCACTGTCAGTATAAGTGTCAATATACTTAAGTGTTTTTCTTAAAAAATATTTACCTAATTCTTCAAAGAGCTGGTAAACAGTGGTGTGTGTAACAGGCAAGGTAGTGCTAAGTGGAGGCTGTAATGCTTGTCTGTCACCTGCTCCTATTGAAAATCGTACTTGAGGCCCACCTGAAAGTTTATACAAATAATATGATTAACACAATGTACAATAATATACAAAACAAAGTATTTTTTTTATAAAAGAGTTAGCACAAATGATCACATATAAAGTG